AAGATTGAGCTGTAACTGCCAGCCAAAACAGTAGCCCTGGAGCCAGGCTGACGTCACCGGTGACCGTGGGTGATAAGGTTTGCGTTACCTGTGGGAGCCGTGTCCCACGGGGAGGGGGAAGGAAGGAAGCACTTTTCCCCGGGAAGCTTATTTTCCCCTCGTAAGATTAGAAATGCTTCGGCATCATTTGCGTAATGCATGAGGAGGAAAACTTGAGCCATGCGGCTCCGCTTTTCCCCCTCCAAATTCTTGTCGAATTCAGTGACGTGCTTCAAACGGGGTTTATTTGGGAGCCGGAGCGTGTGCAGCCGGGAGCTGGCTGACCTACGCTGTGGTTTGCGTTGCCAGCTGGAGCTGCCTTTGTTCCTCCTCTCATTGCCAAAGCCACGTTCAGCTTCAGTTCTCCGCTTGATTGCTGTAATTAAATTCCAGCCAAATATGCATTAACGTGTTCGTTCTGGAAAATAAAGCATTTAGTTATTTTAAGGTTAAAATGGGCTTCGGAAATAGCTAAGCTCTGCAGACCTCGCTCATGCCCTGGTGACGCAGGATGCTGCTCCTCGGGGCTCTGGAAGGAAATTAAGCTGCTTTTGATCAGTCCGTCTTGTCAGTCTCTTTTACTCCCTCTGTAATTTTTTTTTTTTTTTTTTTTTTAAAAAACCTCGTCCCATAGGCTTACCTAATTAGGGAGTTAATTCTCAGAGATTTGAAATGTTTCCTAAAGATTGGAATTTGGTGGAAAAAGGAGACAGGGATTCACACGTGTGCTTTGGTAGCGTTTGACTCTTTTGCCAGCTACTCTCGGTGCCAAAGCGCGTTAGGTTTGCCTGCAGCATGGACTGCAGCGGCCTGGGTAACTGTGCTGGGCTGAGGACGGGCTCACGTAAAGTGCTGTGAGCTGATCTCATGGCTCACCACCCCGAAGCAGTCAGGCTGCTTCTCTCCTTCCCTCCTCTGTTCACTGTGGGTCAGCTCTCGCAGTTGTTCAAACCCCACCATGGGCTGGTTGGACTCGCTGACCCAGCCGCAAACTACTTTTATTTTTTTCCTCTCCCTATTGAATTAAGGAGTTGAGTTGGCACATGGAGAGCTCCAACAGGCGCCAGACCCAACACAAGACGGGAAACGAAAATTACCCAGTTGTAAGAGTGAAAGTGAGGAGAAAGCCTCCCCCTTTCTCAAGGTGAAATACAAAGCTCAACCCACCCAGCAGTGCAGCACCAGGAGCAGCTATCGTATTCGGCGTAGCTCTGAGCAGCCTTCCTGCCTGATCTGGGCTGGGAGCCGCAGGCCGGCTGCCTGCTGCCTCTTCTCAGCGGGCTTTCCTCTGCGAGCCTTACGGCTTCCTCCGCTTTCATCCCAGCAACTGCATGGTATCAGTATGTGGGAGTAAATTTGATGGAAACATCGACCGTTTTCGTGGCTGCTAGCTTCTAATAGTCCCTTCGGTAAAACTCGTACAGGCTGTAATTGAGATGTTAGTCTAAGGCAGATGGTGAGGATCTTGGCAGTTGCTCCGGCTTACTTTCAGTTCTGACTCCTGAATTCCACTGGAGGAGATGAGCCAAGTGGCATCAGATACCAGTCCCTCGTATTAAGTTGAACACGTTTATTTGGTGATGCTACATGTTGGGCACGCGGGTAGCTCTTGAGGAAAGACTTCAAAAATGTCCTGACACGAGCATCATCTTTCTTTCTTGGCTGTAGTATGGTAACATATTTACTGCTGAGTCAAAAAGCCAAAGCATATCCAGGAATGAGGCTTTCTGTTGTGGTTTTCCTGGGGAAAAAACCTTTCCTCCAGAAAGTGACTTCATCGAGAGAGAATTGCATCAAACCAGGTAATAGGTGCAAGTAATGAGATTTGCTTTCACAGTCATCTTTGCTCCAAGCTCGCGCCCAAGTTGTGGAGTTCAGCGTAAGTTGTTCCCACGTGGGGTCAGAGCTGAGGTCCAGCTCCCAGGATGTGCTGCTGTTGGACGTGAATGTGGGCAAGTTGGGTTTTTTTGAGAGAGAGACAGAGAATAAATTCTGTAGGAGACTTTTCTTCCTGAAAACTATTGCAGGAGAGAGTTGAGCCTGGAGAGGGGCAAGGTCGTTCATTAGGTGCTGGAGCGTGTCCAGAGAAGGGCAACGAAGCTGGTGAAGGGTCTGGAGAACGAGTCTTATGATGGAGCGGCTGAGGGAGCTGGGGTTGTTTAGCCTGGAGAAGAGGAGGCTCAGGGGAGACCTTATTGTGCTCTACAGCTACCTGAAAGGAGGCTGTAGCGAGGGGGGTGTCGGTCTCTTTTCCCAAGTAACTAGCGATAGGACGAGAGGAAATGGCCTCAATTTGTGCCAGGGGAGGTTTAGATTGGATATTGGGAAAATTTTCTTTACTGAAAGAGTGGTCAAACATTGGAACAGGCTGCCCAGGGAAGGGGTGGAGTCACCATCCCTGGAAGTATTTAAAAGACGTGTAGATGAGGCGCTTAGGGACATGGTTTACTGGGCATGGTGGTGTTGGGTTGACGGTTGGACTCGATGATCTTAGAGGTCTTTCCCAACCTTAATGATTCTATGATTCTATTAGTTGTTGGCTTTCACGTTTGTCACCTTGGACACTGCAGTGAAAAGCTTCTCGGCAGGTTTTATCCAGGTCTTGAGACGGATACTGCCTCTCTGCCCACCTGTGCCAGCAGAATATTCCCCCTGCATCTCCCAGAGCATGCAGACTGCGGTCCCTCGGGAAGGGACATCAGACCAGGATGTGGTCTCGCGTTATTCCCAAGCACCCTCGCATGGTGTTCTCCTCATCCTGTCTGCTGCTGTTTAGCCTGCTGCTTGATACAAGGTTTGTAGGCTGTTCCCGACCTTCTTTTTCTTCCTGCTTTGCACTTAGTTGCTTTGAAGATACTCCAGAGGTCAAGATGGCTTCAAAATGAGTTTGTACTGCATCTGCTGGAACGAGAGCTTGACCCTGGCTACGACTATTTAGTGTTATCAGAGTATAAATTATAGGTCCAGTCTATCTCAACCCCATATTCAGAGTCATGGTCGTCTTCCATGATGAGACACTCAGATACAGTTGTGGCTATAATATGGAAAACTAGACCAACCCACCGCAAATAACGTGCTGTGTTAAATAGCGTATGTTAGAGCAGCACTGGAAGGGGTGATGATGCTGAATGAAGATGCTGGTGAATAATGCTGAGCCATAACCCTGCTCGGGACTCTCTTACTAGGCAGTCAGCAGTTTTGTGTGCTAATACGTAAGCGTCCTCTTCTGAAGCTGGAATGAGATTTGTGAGAGAGGTGAACGTGAAAGAGGAGCTTCTGCTCCCATAAAACCCTGTATATACCAAGATAGGTGTGGGACAAATTGTAAAATTGCAGAA